ACAACAAAATAGAGAGAGTTTACACTCAGGACAATTGCAGTGGGTAGAAACGGTTCCTTCGCCACTAAAGTTCAGTATTAGAACCAAGGTGATTCTGCAACAGGAAGCTTTCTCTTGGGAAACATTTTAGGATACTAGTGCCAAAACCTTGTTCTTTGTGTCCACTTCTCAGGCCTTGTCAGATACAGTGGTACCAAAGCAGGATTCTGAATGAAATGTATGGGGTGTCCTTGGGAAATGGAAAGGGGAAGCAGTTACATTAAATAATGTGAGACTCAGACCATCATAGAATAGAGGAATTTTCTCGCACATAGGAGGAGAAAAGAGAGCAATAATGATGTGTGTACCTAGCAAGTTAGCTAGCTCCTCTCCTGGATTCTCTCCCCCTTTTTGCTGAGTCCAAGACAGGTTTTCCTGCATTAAAAGATGAAGAGAAAAGAAAAGACATGATGTTTTGGTAGCTCTTGTCATTTAAACCCTCACTGTTTAAGCATTCATACCTGGCAGGGACGAATAACTAATCCCTTCATACTGTAACATCTTTCATCCAACCCAGAGGCTTGAGAGCTCTACTGAAAAAGCAAATAATATTTCTAAATAAATCAAATCTCAAGTCTTGCATCTACAGCATGCCAAAAAAAAAGGGGGGGAGAGAAAAGCAAAGAGGGATGCAATCATGCGTGAAAGTAAATGGAAAGGACGCATACTAATCAATTTATGTTGCTCTGTGATGCAAAAGCAGTGTTTGCCAACATTCTTCCCTAACATTGCGAGGGCCTAGTTAACAATGTTATTGTCCCTATAATTTTATCTTCATAGATACTACGATAAGGAGAGGCAGCATGTTGCTGCAGACGCCTGCAGGCAGTGAGCGTTCAGGAATGCTCAAGCATACTCTCAAAGCAACCTGTACATCTCAACAAGAGATCTTGGCTTTCCCCACCCCACCTTTCCTTGGAGCCTCCTTTACAGTTATGTAATTTAGAGAACAAAAAGGCTTGTCAGTGTGCACTTCAAATCAAAATTAGAGGAAAGGCAAGCAGTGGGAGAGCTCAGAGTGAAATCTATTCCCCAAGGCTGGCACGGGGAGTCTGTGGCCCTCTGTCCAATTTCATGTAGGCTGGTACAGGGCGCAGGACTATATGAGAGAAGAAAGCTAGGCAGTGCTACCAACTGCACAGACTTTCCCTTTGGCTACACCCCACCCTGAGAGCCAGGGTTGTGTAGTGGATAGAGGATGGACGGCAATTCAAGAGACCAGGTTTTTAAACTCCTCCCTTTGGCCATGGAAACCCCGAGGGAGAGAGGCTGGCACTGGTGAGACCACTCCTTCAGTGTCTCCCTTTCCTTCAAAATTCTGTTAGGGTCAGAATAAGTCAGATGCAACCTGACCACATGGGGCAGCAACAATCACTCCACCCGGCTATAGAGCTTTGTTTTCTTTTCCTTCAGTCAATAAACCTTTGTGGGAAGAAGGATCTCCACCTGTAGGCATATCCAAGAATACTCCACACAAGCATGTCCACACTAAAAAAAGAAATCTAGTTGAAAGCAGAAGGAGTAGCCATGTTGGGCAGTTCAATGGTTTGGGTATCTGGCTGCAGAGCCAGAGGTTGGGAACACAATTTCCCACTGGGCCTTCTTGACAGGGACCAGACTCAATGATTCATAGGGTCTCTTCCAGCTCTGGAAATAAACATGGCTTTCAGGGTTTGACAGACGGAAACAGAAATATGTCTCTTAGTAAAATCTGCCCCGCATACAACAGGCTCACCAAGTTTTTATTTTGGGTTTTTGGAAGATCAGCTTTCCCGCATGCCAGCAGTTCCGCAACACGATTATGACTTTATTTTTGTTGGGCCTGTGATGTCAATGGAAGGAACACGTCTCTCAGGTCCAGACAGTCTGCAATTAGGAGAGGGTTCTCTTGGCCTAATTGCTCCCTAAGGCATTGTTATCATTCAGGGACTGAGGACACCTGTGTGCATTGTGCCAGTCGTGGCAGCACTTGCTTAAGCACACAGGATGATGGGAAGTGGTAGACCCAGTTATCTTTCTGCATCTGTTGACCAAACTCCCATGTTTCTTGTTGCTGATTTTGGGGAAGGGGTGAAGGGAAGAACTGGTTCAGATGTTGTCTGTTCAGTGATCTTCAAAGCTTGCACAGGTCTAGTCTAAAGCACAATGACCACTGCTTTATTCTCAGGAAAGTGTAAATAGCCTTAGTTGATTTATTATAGATGTGCATATAGGTAAAACCAATCATTCTGAATCAAGTTGTAGACCTTTTCCCTACTAGAAAAGTGTGGGTTTGTGCAGGCAAGAGTTTAAAAGACTTATTCCCACTTTTGTAAGAGAAAAGACACAATGTCCCTTTTAAGTATCTACAGCCTGTGTGGGTGCTTGCATTTCAAACAATACTTATTTTTTAAAAACGTTTTTAGTGAGGTATTATCTTAGCCAATCAAAAGATGGTTTAATCAGTTAGCATTATTACAATTACAAAATATCAAAACTGTATTCATAGTTCTTTTGATCTCATTAATTCAGGATGGAGTTTGTAAACAATGCATCATTTAACCTGCATATTTTAAATGCTCCGAATTACAGAAGAACTGTTGAAAAGTGGACTGGTCTGGAAATGGCAGTAATCAAGCATGTGAAACACTTTGAACCTGACATAAACGCTAAGTACTCCTACTTTTATTTTTAAGATGGTTTTCAGGTATCTCATCTGTTCCTCCCAACTCTCTCATTACAGGGCAAAAATGCCTGCTAAATAACAAGACACTTGGGTTTCACCTTTGATCATGGAACTCAGTAACACAACACTCAGAAGCTGCATCCCACACTATCTTTCTGTATGGAATAAAAAAATCCAACTTGTAAAGAAAAGACTTCAGATGACTGTAAACAATGATCTGTTGCTTTCATCCTGCAAGGCAATTCTTATGTTCTTAATAACCATCATCAGTTAAAACCCATCATGTGTATATACAGTATATATCTCACAGAGTTTGACAGTTGATGTGACCGTATTTGGCACCAGTGGATTAATGAGTTGGGGACAGCACGCTACTATACAGGGAGAAAGAGGACTGGGCTGATGGACTTCATACACTTGCAAGTCCATCAAGCCCAACTCCACTCGTCCATTTTGACCCTTCATTACAGCAGGTTAGGATGTAGGGAATCCCCGAATATACTTTTTTTTTTTTTACCGCTTTTACTGATTCTTAGCTTAATTGCCAGTCTTGAGCTGCTAGCTTCCACTTCATCACTGACTATAATTTTGTTCAGAGAGGCTCCAAGTTCCCCCATGAATTTGGAAAAGGGGACCTTCCATAACCTTGCTATTGGTCTGACTGGGAAAGAGCCCCCACCAAGCTGGATGTGATATGGAAACCTCCCTGAACCAGAGTGAGACCAGGCCAGTGACTTTTGGTCAAATGGGATACTATAGTTAGTATGCAATTAGAAGAAGAAGAAAAAAAGGTGATTGTTTCAGCTGTGCAGTCCTTTCCAGGCATACTGTATGTCTGGGCAATCAGAATGCCAATGGAGCTGGTACTTAGCTCCTGCTGGCCAATCAGGAAAAAAAAACAAGCTAATTTGCAAGGTATGCGCAGTTATGATAGGAAGGTTTTTAATGCTGAGCCCTCTGCAGCAGCTATTTTGACCTTTTGCTTTCTAAACAGGGAAGTGCTATCATTCAAGCTGCTCAGAAACCAATGCCTTTAACTAGCAATGGAAAGAGGTGTCAAGATGCAGAAGGAGTTCAGGTAAGAGGGAGTTATTAATGGTGAAGCCGGGTAGTCCTTAAGGTTCAGATCATTTCCGCACTCCTTCAGGTTTGGAAACGAAACTCATTTTGCCATGTCCCGTCATTAATAGAGAATGCCATTTCCATTAGCAGAAGTGTGATTGGAAGATCAAACGTTCACATTTCCTTTGGCAGAAAAGGCTGCTTTTCTTTTACAGGTAGCCGCCTTCCTAACGTCTCCATTTAACTTAGCAGCAGGCAGGTAGGTGGGCGAGGAAGCTTGAAGCATGCAAAGCACAATGAGCTATTTTAACCGGGAAAACAAAATCCGTGGCCAAGAATATCCTTCTCCTACATCTCCTGCTGAAATTGGAATCTATATTTCCAAATGTATCCTACCCTGCAAAGGAATCACAGAATCAATTTCCGCCACACAATATTTAATTACCAAAATGTTTGTCTTTGTAACTGCTTGTTGGAAGTGGAGGTTTTACAAGCTTTAAACTCCACTTAGCTAAAACAAAGCATTTGAATCAATTCATTTAATGGGTTCTGTGCTTGCTTTTTCCGCTGGAATCTTGCTGTGACTTTGGTATACAATATCTGTCTGTGCAATAAAATGAGGCTATATTCACATCCCAGCTCTGGCTTAAACTGACTGGGTTCTACCTCTCTCAGAAACCACAGCCTCTAAAAACAAGTTATCTACGACTGGATCTTTGGATAAGTTACTTTTTAAGCTATGATTCCAGAATATACCTCAGCCACTCAAGTTTATATTGCCAGACTCCTCATCTCTATCTTTTTAAAGTTTTTAGCTAAGCTTTCCTGAACTGTTGCCAAATACAGTCATATCAACTGTCATTTCTTTAAAGGAGCTCAGATTACAAAATGCCCCAACACGGTTGATTTATCATTCTTCATTGCTGGCTGCTTTGTGCAGGGCAGTTAGACCTATTTAGTTCAATAAGATCTTTCTTCGTGCTGACCTTGAATTCAGATTTGTTTCTGATTTTCATTTATTTAAAATATGTATGTGCTCTCTTTTGCTTAAAAAAACCCCAATCAATTCCAGCATACCTCATCATAATGCAAATGTTTTTTAAAATGACAACACATCAACACCAGCACAGAGGCAAAATGAACAGATAATTGGCTACATACATAAAATATTTTGCAAGCCTGAATAAATGAAAGTGGGTTAAGATGGTGCAGACAAGCCCACAGGCTGGGAAAGAGCATTCTAAGAAAGAGGGAACCACAGCCGACCGAACTCTCTGGGCTTCTACCTCAATTCTGAAGACTCAACAGGGAATTTTAAAGTATAGGCAGACTTTAGGACCAGGGAGCCTGATGCCAACGGTGGTGGAGGAATGCTTTTATGTGTTGCTCCTCAGTTTTATAAATAGAGCCTTTAGAAAAAGGAAGCCTTTCTGTAATCTAACCTGATGACTGTCGACAGAATTCCAGAAATTCTCTATTTGTATTATAGTCAGATGCCTTGTATTCAAGCGGTAGCTATTTTGTATGCACTTTCAGTATCCTGCAGTTTTTGCTACTAGCAGGGATTTTTTTAAAAAATTGGGAACTTGGTGGTGGGGGGGCAGGAGGAACTCAAAGCCCATGAAAGGAAAGGAGAAATCTAAGGTGTTTCTGATATAAACTCTTGATGGGTGCATACAGTTCCTGCTATAGACACACATCCCAAATACTACAGATGCCACTATATTGCTTTTCTGACCATGTGAATCTTGTGTGGGGTGGATGCTAAATGAGGTAAGGCCTGGTTAGTATTTGAATGGGAGACCACCGGTGGACACTAGGGATCACCAGAAAGGGGGGGGGAATCAAACCTACCAGCAACACTAAAGAGCCACTGCCAGTTAGACCTGACAAAACAGGGCTGAAGGGAGCAATTGTCTAACTCACAACCTCCCCTGTTCTTATGTTCTGGTCCCTGGAGGTGCATCCACAGAAACAGGAAGGATGAAAAGTGAATTCCATTCTTGTTTGGAGCAGGGAGACAATGCTTAATCTCTACAACTTCAAAAAGAGCCTCCCGGCCAATGCTGGGCTGCAGACTTCATTTGTCAGAAACTTTCAGCTTTCAAACAAAACAAAACAAAAATGGCAAACCTGAGAAGATGTTTGACTGGCGTTATGGAAATGAGTGAATACTGGAGTTGGCTCCAGCGAATTTCTAAGCAGGTGTGCATCCTTCTGCACGGGGAAGTTTCCTTTTCATCAACCCTTCCAGCAGCCAAATTTTCTGACATCCTCAATAGTGATGGCTAAAAATAAAACAAAAAAAAGTGGTACTTTTCCATACCCGAACCCCTGACTGTTAAATCCCACAGTGCTTCACGCCATGTTGATGACTCACCTCCCCTTTTGTTTTCATTTTAATCTCTTTTTTCTTAGAACTGAGGATGGGAAGTTTCAGCAGTTTCTTTGGCAAGTGTTCTTTCTTTTCTGTTCCTGAGACACCCAGGGCTAAATAAGATGATTTCCACACAGAATTCTACCTGCAGCAGTTGGAAGACTGAGTCAATCACAGGGTTTAGCCTTGTGGAGTTTCTTGGGAGACTAAGTTGAGGGAAAAGCTGTCACAACCAACTTCAAGCTCTCCTAAGAGGAGGAAAAAAAGATTTTGAAGTAGAGCTTTCTGTTACTTGAGTTTGTCTCTGGCAGTTCTAAAATTCATTCCTTCACACCTAGGCATTTAAGATTTTGAAGTAGAGCTTTCTTTTACTTGAGTTTCTCTGTCTCTGGCAGTTCTAAAATTCATTCCTTCACACCCAGGCATTTAATTCTATCCTGGAAACCACCAAGACCCTGTCTGTGGCATGGCAGATATACTTCATGAATGGAAATCTTGGAAAACTTAAGGCTGGAGATATTTGGAATTGTAGTCCACCAAAGCCACTTCCCCACATTTTACATGGATCTGAAGGTTAGAGGAAGAATGTGTGAAAGAGCCATATGGAAATCCTACTAACAGTACAAGTTCACCCTTGGGATGATGTTCAAGCTTTGTTTTAGCAGTTCGTTTCACTGCGGGGGCAACAGGGCATCCATTACTGGTTTTAGTGCAGACAGATGTGAAGCATAGTGCACCCTCAGCTAAACTGTATAAAGCCGAATATCACTGTAGGCCCAGACTTAAGAGAAGTGGCTTTAATAATAGAAGCCATTCAGCAGGAATTCCAAGAAGAGTGAATGCTTTCAGTAAGAGTGGTTGCTGTTTTGTTTTGTTTTTAGCTCAGATCAAGCAGGAGACAGCAGGTGTGCCTGAACAGCCCAGCAGACAGGGGCTTGAAGAAGTTCCTTTTTTTGAAGATTATAACTTCCAGACTGCCCTTGACAAGGCTATATTTTGAGAAAACAAATAAATAGTTAAATAATAATTGATGATGATGGTTTGATTTAATAAAGTCATTTGCTAGTGGACATGGAAAGGACAAGCTCTCTTGTTGCAAACATCTGCCCAGTCTTGAAGTGACAAGAAATAGTAACTCAGGGGGAAAAACAGCCAATAGTCTGAGCACTGGAATTCCCATTTCTGGTTCTACTGGAGGATGGCAAGCCTATGAGAATCTAGTCTCAGCAGTATGGCTGGGATTCAACTGGAGTCACCAGATCAGGGCACTTAAGGCAGGTGTTGTGCCTGCCCTTTCATCCATAAGAAAGAGATTCTAATCCTTCTTGGAGAATACTTTGTGGATGGTCCTCTGTCACATTCATAACCATCTATGATCCAAGCTTCTAATTTAGAGGCAACATGGAGACTTCTACCATCATTAGCCCACCACCACTGGCCAATGAGTTTGGGGAGGACTATCCCAAGAGGAAGGATGCTTTGCAGTGACTCCAAGAAGCTCACGTGCTTCTAATACCTTCCATTCCTCAAGGAAGGGGTAGAAAGAATGATCTGGAGGCATTAAAAAATTAAGTCCATTCCCAGACATCAGGGTCAAAAGCCTCACGTGGAGCTCTCCATGGTGCTGAAGCAGCTGTTGCTCTACTTTTCCCCACGACATCACCAGTTGCTTACCCCTCTGCCACCCCTTCATGGAAAGAGCAGCCTGGTACGAAGAGTAGGACTTAGAAGAATATCCAGAGATGGCAATCTTGGCAATCTTGAAAGCCCAGCAGGGAATCATTATCTGAGTCATTTAAATATGAAGGTCAAAATTTTGTAAAAAGTTCATCAGGAGCTCATGTGGTCAGACCCTCTGCTGAGACATCATTAAGGAGAGGATTGTTGAGGGTCTACCCTGCACAGCATGAACCTAGATGACCTGAAAGAGCAATTTATCCCATACATGCCTGCCCAAGTTTTGAGATCTGCCAGGAAAGCCTTTCCCGTGGGCCGACTGGTATTGACAACCACACTACCTCTGAACCTGGAAGTAGCCCATAATTGCAATAATTAGCAACCATTATCATACTCTTGTAAAACAAATTGGCAGCCATTACTGTATCTGGGGATAAAAAATTCCATCATCTGCTTTTGTCCCAGGAGAGGTTATTTCTTTTTGTGCTTTTGGGAGACAACCAGCATTTAGTGTCACTGGAAGAGATTTGTTTTTTCCCCACCACGTTCTCCATATCTATGCCTGTGCAGGAGAAAGGAGTGGAATAACCCACATTCGCATAGCATGTGTATGAACAGGGTGCTTGCTAGTGGAACAGATGGAGAGAACCCACTCTGGATCAAATTAGAATGTCAATGAGTTTGGTTAATGGACTGTGGCTTCCAGAATCCCCTTGCTTCCTGGGGGATTCTGGAGGTTCTAGTTTAGAAAGCTAACTTTCCCAAACTCTGAGTTTTTGTGTTGGCAAAATACTGTAGGAACCCCCCCTAAAAAATAAGTCCCTTATCTAACAAATGGGAAGAAGGTCTGTAGCATCTTAGATGAGACACAAAAAGTACACAGGAGCCAAGTGGAACCCTCTGCCTGCAGTCACCTCTCCTCTCCACGTTCTTTCTTTCCCCGTTTGCTCAGTAAAAATGAGCAACGTTCTGTTACTAATTTTCCACCAACAAACATGCCGACAGCAAATGCAATCCTTTTACCTCCTTAGCGTTAGACCTTTTCAGCTAAGTGGGAGCAATCTCACCTGGGAGCTGCAAAAGGTCTCAGTTGTTTATGGCACTCCTTGAGTTCCTGGGAAGAAGTCAAGTCCTTTCTTGCATAGAAGGATAATCAAGAACAGAAATACAAGCAAAGAGAAGCCCTATATTTTATTCCCAGACCTTTCTTCCCCCACCTTCTCCAGCAGCAAAGAACATAAAATGTCAGGTGACTATCAAGCTATATTTAAACCGCCTTGTTTTGCTTTAAAGGAAAACATCCTATGAAAGAAAAAATGAATTAGGTTGCCATGGGATCCCCAGCGCCAATTGAAAGTGGAGTGCAAAGGTTTTCTTTCTGAAAACGAAAAGTGTTACTGTATATACATGCACACAAAATCAATCCACCTGGGAGATTTCCTGGGTGGGGCTCATGAGTGTCAACCATTTATTTGTACGGCTGAAAAATCATCATCATCATCATCATCATCATCATCACTGCCACTTGGGGCCAGCGGTTGCAGTTAAGCAGCATTAGATTCAGAGAAAAGAAAGTGGTTCTCCAAACAACGCACGATGAGACTGCCGTTTGCTGATAGGGTGCAACTGGAGTCAACTCGGTCTCTTCAACAGCATGAAATCACACAGTGGATTAGGTTTTTCTCAATTTGCCATTAGTTTTCTGGTCTGGTCACTGGCCATTTGATGAGGCAGTGATGCCAGTGATCGTTCAGCAGCAGCTGTGGAGTTATTGGGGCTTTTAAATTGGCAAATAAAATACAGTGGAAATAATAATGGTTGTTGGGCAAACAAAACTGTCATATGGCAAGTGGTTGGGGAAATGGAATAAAAATGCCAGAGTTAGTCTGATGGGGACCACCCGTTGCTATTAATTAATAATATTGTAAAGCAACAGTTCACAACCTTGGATCCCCAGATGTTCTTGGACTAAAACTCCCAGAAGCCTTCGCCACGAGCTGTGCTGGCCAGGATTTCTGGGAGTTGTAGTCCAAGAACATCTGTGGACCCCAGTTTCAGATCCACTGTTATAAAGGAAGAGCCCATGGTCTGAGAAAGTGAGGGGGGCCAGTCCTGAAGTTCAGAGTGAAATGCACCCCAGCTTCAGTCAGAAGCCAGTTGGCAATACCAATAAATGCACTTTGGTCTTTCCCAGGAATGCTTGATCCCATTGGCAGTGAGCTATCTTCTAAGGCTCACACAGATGTCTCTCCCTTCACCTGCTACTGCTGGAAATTTAAACTGGGATCTTCTGGTGCAAAACTGAGTTCTAGCATTAGGTTCGGCCTTTTTACCAATGAAGTGGGGGATACAGATCTTTGAGTCTTGCTTCTGCAAGATAAATACTGAACCGTACAAATAACTTCCATGTTGTGGCAACAGCATCTTTGATATGCAGGTCTTTCATTGAAGCTTGTGTTGTACAGAATGGGAGAACCTCTGATAAAATAACAATGATACAATAACACAAATGTTAATTAGATTGGCTATTTACAGTCATTGGTGACCTTTCCCCCTACCAGTTTTCCTTTGTAATCAGTTGCAATAGAATTTGAACTGCCCCAAGCAATATGAGACCACAAGACCAGTGTCAAGAATCTGTTTTAGCACAACATTATATTTTTTCTTGTTGTTTAGTTGTGTCCGACTCTTGTGTTACTGTATATACAAAATCAATCCACACAAATGTTTTAGCACAACATTATATTTTTTGTTGTTGTTTAGTTGTGTCCGACTCTTCGTGACCCCATGGACCAGAGCACGTCAGGCCCTCCTGTCTTCCACCAAATTCATGTTGGTCGCTTCGATGACACTGTCCAACCATCTCGTCCTCCATCATCCCCTTCTCTTCTTGCCTTCACACTTTCCCAACATCAGGGTCTTTTCCAAGGAGTCTTCTCTTCTCATGAGAAATGGCCAAAGTATAGGAACCTCAGCTTCAGGATCTGTCCTTCCAGTGAGCACTCAGGGTTGATTTCCTTCAAAATGGAACAACATTATATACCCACCGATTTTCTTAACAATCAACCACGATCTCTGTATTTAATACAGTATCTATATTTTGATGTATAAATATTTGCCACGCTGAATCTCTTTCTCTTATGTCTGATGAAGTGGACTTGTCCATTAAAATTCAGTCTTTAAATTGCCACTGTGTTGTTGGCTTTTATTACCTTTTATCTCTATTT